CGCTGCCTCCTCCCTGCGTTTCACCCACCCAGTACAGCGCTTCGTGGCCCCATAGGGAACTCCACCGAAGGCGCCAGAAGCAGGGTTCGCATGGCGGCCTCGGGCCATTTCGGCACTCCCCTCACGAGGATCGTGGCCCGATAGGAACTCCACCGAAGGCGCCACTGGCAGGGTTCGGAGGCCCCGGGCCATGTCGGCACACCCCTCACGAGGATCGTGGCTCCCTAGCGAGCTCCACCGAAAGCGCCAGAGGCAGGGTTCGCATGGCGGCCTGGTGCAATTTCGGCACACTCCTCACGAGGATCGTGGCCCGATAGGAACTCCACCGAAGGCGCCACTGGCAGGGTTCGCATGGCGGCCTCGGGCCATTTCGGCACACCCATCGCGGCCTCGGGCCATTTCGGCACACCGCTCACGAGGATCCTGGCCCCGTAGGAGCTCCACCGAAGGCGCCAGGTGGCAGGGTTCGCACGGCGGCCTCGTGCCATTTCGGCACACCCCTCACGAGGATCGTGGCCCCGTAGGGAGCTAGCTCCACCGAAGGCCCCAGTGGCAGGGTTTGCATGGCGGCCTCGGGCCATTTCGGCACGCCCCTCACGAGGATCCTGGCCTCCTAGAAGCTTCGCCGAAGATATCAGCGGCAGGGTTCGCATGGCGGCCTCCGGCCATTTCCTTTCACCACTCACGAGGATCTGACCAAATAGGGAGCTCCACCGAAGGCCCCAATGGCAGGGTTCGCGTGGCGGCCTCGGGCCATTCGGGACACCCCTCACAAGGATCGTGGCCCCGTAGGGAGCTCCATCGAAGGCGCCAGCGGCAGGGTTCGCATGGCGGCCTCGGGCCATGTCGGCGCGCCCCTCACAAGGATCGCGGCCCCAGAAGGAGCTCCACCGAAGGCCCTAGTGGCAGGGTTCGCATGGCGGCCTGGTGCAATTTCGGCACACTCCTCACGAGGATCGTGGCCACATATGAACTCCACCGAAGGCGCCAATGGCAGTCTCTCTCATGGCTCTCAGGACCCTTTCCTGCTGCTGCTCTTCGGTCAGGGGGGGCGCCGTCCTCGTAGTCGTCGGCGCCCGCGAAGACGGCCACAATCGTGTCCCCTGAGCATGTCGGGCTCCGGCGGGGAGCCGTCGCCGCATTCGGAGCGCGGGCGAAGATGGTATTCACAATTGCGGTATTCACAACTGCGTATGGTTGGGTCCTTCGCCAGGCTAATTTACGGATTTCGGCATGCGCGCGCGACGACGCGCGCGCGCACTTCGTTCCACTTTTTGCAAAGGATTCTCGCGACGGCACGCGCGCAAGGGCGTTCGAACGATTTCGGCATGCGCGCGCGAAGCCCGTTGGGTAGCATGTATTGAGAACCTTGAAAGACCTATGATGTTCTTAATATTTCGCAAGAGCGCGAGCGTAAGTTTTTTTAAGCGAATCAGTGTTGCGAAGCCATGTGTGTTTGTATGGTGTGCTTGGAAGCTCGATTTTGACATCCTTCCGATATCGAAGGTTTTCAAAGGATTTCGGCATGCGCGCGCGACAACGCGCGCGTGCGCACTTCGTCCCAGCTGTTGCAAGGGATTCTTGAAAACTTATGAGCTCTGACAAGTGAGTGCGCGCGCATAATATGTTTTGCAAAGGAAAGCGGGGGGGGGTCGACACCGGCTTGGCTGGGAGAGTATGACTTCACAGGTAGGATGGACGATGTGGCAGGAACATATATGTAAATTGCAATACGAAAAAGTGACCCGTTGACTACGGGGGGGGGTAGAGGTTTTTAGAAAGGAGAATCTACATGGTGCACTTCACTTTGACTGTCTTGGAGCTGCCCTCTCCGCTGCTCGTGCAAGCATCCCACCCGCCCACCCGCAACTTGGTCGCAAGACCTCTTAAGACCGTGACGGTAGGTACCAAATTGCACTTGGCAGCGACACCGACACCGACGACGACAGCGACAACCAGAACGACGACGACGCCGCCGACAACGACTACGACGACACCGACGACGTCTCCGACGACTTCGACGACGACGACGACAACGACGACACCGACGACGACGCCGACAACGACGACGACACCGACGACGACGACGACCCCGACGCCGTCGACGACGACGACGACGATGACAACGCCGACGACGACGACGACGCCAACGACGAAGACGACGACTACGCCGACGACGACGACAGCGATGACGACGACGAAGACGACGACGACGACGACGACGACGAGGGAGGAGGGAGGACGACGACGGCGACAACGACGACAACGACGAGGGAGGAGGGAGGACGGCGACAACGCGAAAGACGAAGGAGGGAGGACGGCGACGCCGACAACGACAACGACGAGGGAGGAGGAAAGACGACGACGACGACGACGACGATGACGATGGCGACGAAATAGGAGGGACGACGACGACACACCGACGACGGACGACGACGACGACGTGGGAGAAGGAAGGACGACCACGACGACAACGACGACGCCAAAGAAGACGACGACGACGAGGAAAGACAGAAGACGACGACGGCGACGAAGACGACGACGACGAGGTATGAGGGAGGACGACGACGACGACGAAGACGACGCAAAAGCGCGCGCACGCTTTTGTGAAACCCGGGTTGCGAAACCTTTTGTTTTTGTATGATTGTTTGGACACTCGATGTTGAATTCCTTCCGAAAGCAACGGTTTTCGAAGGATTTCCGCATGCGCGCGCGTTGACGCGCGCGCACTTCGTCCTATTTTTTGCAAAGGGTTCTCGCGACGGCACGCGCGCAAGGGCGTTCGAAAGGTTTCGACATGCTCGCGCGCGAAGCCCGATTGGCAGTACTTTTTGCTTGGAAATCTTAAAACACCATTGTTGTTCATATTAAAAACAATTCGAGGGAGCGCACGCGTAAGATTGTTTGGGAAATCCGTGTATGTTTGTTTGGGAACTCGAGTTTGCAATCCTTCCGAAACCTAGAGTTCTGGAAGGATTTCGGCATGCGCGCGCGACGACGCGCGCGTGTGCACTTCGTCCCGCTTGCGTTTACAATATATTCTTCAAAACCTATGACTTTTGATAACGAGTGTGCGCGCATAGTATTTGTTACAAAGGATGGCGGGGGGGCGATACCGGCTGGGCTGGGATAGTATGAGTTCACAAGTAGGATAGCCATTGGGTCAGAACCCGGGGGAGGGTGGTAGGACCTATTCTCTTTTTTTGAAAAGAGAACCTATATGGTGATATCTGCGTGGTACAATCTATTTGATCTATTTGGTGCAATCAACATGGTGCACATTATGATGTGCGCCGTATGTGGTGCAATGTATGTTGTGCAACCGATGTGTTGCAACCTATGTGTTGCAATCAATGTGGTACAATATACGTGGAGCAATATATGTGATGCATTTCTATGTGGTGCAATCTACATTGAGCAACCCATCTGGTACAACCTATGTAATGCCATTCTGCCAGGCCGTGGCAAGGCGGCGACGGGGCGGCGACGGCGAAAACATAGCCGCAATACCGCCACGCCGTTCAAGACGACGGGCGGCGACGAAGCGGCGACAGGGCGGCAACAGCGACAGCATAGCCGCCAGACCGCCACAATGGCCCAGACGACGGGCGGCGACGAGGCGGCGACGGGGCGGCAACAGCGACAGCATAGCCGCCAGACCGCCACAACGGCCCACACGACGGGCGGCGACGAGGCGGCGACAGCGACGACATAGCCGCCAGACCGCCACACCGGCCCAGTTCCTCAAAAAGAAACAGCAACCAGACAAGCAAGCACTCTTTGGGGAATGCGCCGCCCAGAATTCAGGGTGCTTCCTTCATATGGAGTATCTGCGTGGGGGCCTTCCCGTCGAAAACAAATACGTTCACAATGCTCGATGTGCCCGTAGTTGCCGTGATGAGGGCGTCACTGAGGATAAGGGGGCGTCGTTTTCCGTGGGGGGAAACTCAGAAACAACGTAATACTAACCACAGCATGTGATCCCCCAGCGCCCAGGGCCCGAACTCCATGAACTTCCCTTCGCGACCGTGCGCGCCCTGGGAATCGCCGCGCGCTTCTTCGAGGGATCTCGGGAGCGTGGCGGGGCGTCCACGGTTCAAGCAGCGGCCTGCGGTTGCCTCATCCTGGGCCCTTCCTGGGTCCCTCTTGGGCCGTCTCCTAGGCCCTGGGCCGTTCTCGGGCCCTCGGGGCCCTCCAGGGGCCCCAGGACTGTCAGGAAACGACTCAGGATGAAGATCTCGTCCTGGGGGAAGGCCCCAGGGTCCAGGACCCGGTTCCCTGAGAACCTCTTTCCCCCTAACTTATGAGATAACCGACCTGGTCGGATGAAGGATGCATGCAGAGGCCATGCCGCAGGCCCCAGAAAAAGGAGAGAACGAACAAGTGAAGCCTGCATTCTCCAGGATCAGTCAACATCGAATCGTGAAATCGGATCGGATCGGAACGTGCGTCGGATCGGGCTGCATCGGCGCGGAGTCGGAATCTGAATCGGATCGGCTCCGCCAGGATGCACAACCGCGCCATGTGAGCAACGGGCCACATCGGATCGCCGGTACATTGGGATCGAACCAACACGGGCCGGCCGGAACAGCCGGCTCGACATGGATCCGGGACGGTCCCACTGCCGCTTGCTGGCAACAGTTCTGCTCTACGGCTCGGCGAGATGGCGAAGCTTCCTGGGCGCATGCGCTTCGCTCTCTCCACGGGCCCTCTGGGGCGCTGCGCCTGGGGCAACCATAACTGCCAGCACCTGCCCTGCACGCAGGTGCTACAGCCAGTAGGAAGCTATCGCCTCGTCTGAGGCCGAATCCTGCACGTACACAGTCGTAGGTTCGGGCAGCAGGTCGGTATCGGATCCTGTCCTTTCTGGTAATTCTGGCATGTATGATCCCACAATCTGCGTAAAGTTCAATGAGTACTAACGCGGAGCGTTAGGCCACGCTTCGGTCCGATGCGGGTCTGACGTCGGGCTGGGAAGCAGCTCGGGAGGTTCTGACGTCGTCGCTCTTTTCCTTCGCGTCACGTGGCGGCTCTCCTTACGGGACCGTGTGCGAAAGCTTGGTCGGCTGCCACCCCTGTGCTGCCGCGTCCTAAGCGTGCGCCGCTTCAGCCTCAGCAAAAGAAAGCAGCACCTCGAGAGCCTCGACCACTCATTTTTTGATCGGCAAATATGCAACTCCCTAAAATCGGCGCAGATTGCCACCTTTGCCCAGAGCGCATGCGCGACTGGCCTCTAAACTGTGCGCAACTCAGACGGGTCGAAAAACCTGCGCACCTTCAGCAAGGATCAGCGCGTCGTACTTCTTCTTCAAATCGTCATACTGGCTTGCCTTGGAGATCAGATTGGAAGAGCCCAGGTAAGCGCTGACAGAGAGCATGACAATCATCACCACCAAAAGCGGCGTGAAGTGAAAATTCGTATCGAAGATTGGCAGCATCACCTCCATGAGATAAGTCGCCAGCACTGCAACTGCCTCTCCAATATTCTTCAGCACGGCGTCAAGGTACACCAGGAGGTAGACGGTGCTCCATGCTTTCATCATGTGCGAGAGCGCAACACCTACTGTCCATGCATTCCAGCCGCCCCAAAAACCGTACTGCCAGGCCCTGCCTTCCAAGATGACCAGCAGCGTCAAAACCACTAATCTGGACAAACGCTGCTGAATAGCTTGGATATAAACGGGTTGCTTTCCATATTTCGCCCGGAACTCTTTAGAATATTTCTCGAGTAAGACGGCAGCCAAACAGGAGATACCTACCTTCGCGGCAGCATTGAAAATGCCGTCAATCGTGGCACCGCTGTGAAGCTTCTCTGAGTCCATGTCGATGCACATGTAAGCGGTCATGGAAAGTGCAACCAACGCCAAAAGGTTCCACTGCAATGGAGTCTGGCCAGTACCGTTGAAATACCATCTCATCAGAGCGGTAATAAGCAGCCTGGACTGCAAGAGTATTTGGTAGGCACCACCCGACAATGACGCCATGCTTCGCATCTCCAGGAAGTCACCGATGCCAAATAGGACGCCGAGGAATGTGAATGTGCTGAGTGCTGCAGGCTTCCAGATCAACTTCCACTCGCCCTTGTACCAAGCAATGCTCATGGCCCCTGCGGTGGACACGCACACCTCTGCGAGGTTTGCGGTCTGCACACCATATGGGAAGCTCCTGCTGCCGTCCGCTCCGACAGTCTTGGACGCGTCGATGACAGTGGGGTGGATCGCACGGATGAAGACGAAGAAGGCAAAGAGACCACTCTTCTGTGCAACTGAAGGGTCTCCTGAATCCTTCCTGGGAGCGTCCTTGAACTCCTGCCCTGAGTAGGGCTTGGCTACTTCCTTCGGCGCCATGGTCTCTCAATCAATCATCCGTCGGTTCGCCGGGCCAACAGGACGACAACTGTTCGAACCAACACGGCTTGAGCCAACATGGCTACGTAAGAGTCTCGAACATTCTTAGATATAGTTCGGAGTCTTCAGATGTTTGGCAAGCCTGGGCTCGGGCGCGTGATAAAGTCCAGTGCGCTGATGCCAAAACTTCACTCTTGTGTGACAGCGCACGGTTCATCTTCCACCCAATTCTAAAAGCACTGATGCAGTACGACATACAAAGGCCCTGCGAGCTTCATCGCAAACATGTTGATCATGGCAGCCTGGCTCCATTGCCCATGCCGAACGGCGTCTCCTCCTAGATGTTGGTTTCTAATTTTCCAGCTGGCCGTGCATAACGGTGGTCCAACCTTTCTGGACCAAAATTTGGACATCCTACGGGGAATGCTTGATTCCACCGAAGGTCAAACCGAAACACTCAGGCCAAGAAGCGCTGATATCCAAATGGTGCTCCAAAACAAACGATGTGGGCAATACCCTCCTCCTCTTCCTCCTCCTCATCCTCGTCCTCTCTCTTTTTCCTCCACCCCTGCTCCTCAACAAGCCTCGAAGGGCCTTTCGGTGACGAACACTCCATCTACCTGAACCGTTTACCGACTCCGACTCCGTCTCCTTCTTATTGTGTTGCTGAGAAAGGTGCTGGCCCGGATTTACCCATCGCTTGATGGCCGCGAGCCTGACACGCTCGGGCAAAAAGACGGGGAGACGCCACGCGCGTCCCAGGAAAAGCCTGAAGGCCTGGATCACCCAAGGCCCCTGGCAACGCAAGCCGATCCTGGCAGCAATGGGGATGAGCGCGGCAACTGGGTCCTCGACCTGGGCCCAGGGCTTGGGTTTCAAAGCAAAAGGGTACCAATTCGAAAAAGGTGCTCTCAAACCAAGCCGCGTAGCATCCGAGACTGAACGATGCATGTGTGTGTCTCGATCGTGCTCCTCTTGCATAGGTGGCCTTCGCGTTCCGTGCACCCCACCACGCTCCTTCCGCCATCGCAGTGACTATGCCTAGCCGCCGACGCAGCAAGTGAGTCTTGATCGCGCCAGCCGTTAGCAACACGAATCGAGATAAGTGTTTAGACTCCCCCGGTAGCGGGAACGGATTAAATCGTCGGCGACCTTATTGACCGACAGGGGGCCCACCAATAATGGAGAAAATCGTGGTTTCTCGGCGGCACCCGCCGCACAGCAACGACGACGACAGTGAGCTGAAGGAGGGAAGGTGAGCAACGCCTTGAATACATAATGTGTCGATCAATCGTTCAATCTTCTCACAAACGGGTCAACATCCCTCTGTCGTGCAGGATCGTCCAGGGATAATAAAATTCCCTGGGCAGAAGATCCCCCCAGCTCATCCAGCCCACCCTACAATAGGAGGAACATAACCTCCGCCTCGACGACGTTGACAACGACGATTACGACTACGACTACGACTACATGTACAACTACACTTACGACTACAACCACGACTACGATTACCATAACAGTCGCGACTGCAATCACGATGATCATTACGATTGCAACCACGACTAACATCACGACTGCAACCACATCCATTGATTCCTACTGCAATCTTCATGCAAATATGTTCACACATCCTCTCGCGCGCAAAGTAGCCCACAATGGATGATGCACTGGGAGGAAGAACCCCCGAAGTATCCAGCCCGCCCAACAATAGAAGGAAAATGCTATCCGCCGCGACGACGACTACGACGACGACGACGACGACGACGACGACGACGACGACGACTGCGACGACTACGATAACGACCACGAGGAGGAGCAGGAACAGCAGGAGGGGGGGATGAGGAGGAGGAGGAGGAGGAGGAGGAGGAGGAGGAGGAGGAGGAGGAGGAGGAGGAGGAGGAGGAGGAGGAGGAGGAGGAGGAGGAGGAGGAGGAGGAGGAGGAGGAGGAGGAGGAGGAGGAGAGGAGGAGGAGGAGGAGGAGAGGAGGAGGAGGAGGAGGAGGAGGAGGAGGAGGACGAGAGGAGGAGGAGGAGGAGGAGGAGGAGGCGGAGTAGGAGGGGGAGGAGGAGGAGGAGGAGGAAGAGGAGAAGGAGGAAGAGGAGGATGAGGCGGAGGAGGGGCACGTTTGTCCCTCACCGGGAAAACGGGGAGGGGGGGGGCGCAAAACTTACGACATCCTAAGGTGAGGGGTTCCCGCCTCCATCCCCCGCGCGTGACCATCGCTGCAAACCCGAGAGATGACCCCTAAACAGGCGGCCGTCTGCTTTGACCGCGGCGGCACGGAGCGACTTGAGTTTTCCGTCCGCGAGGACCTGGACGTCGGACTCCAGAGGGCCTGGGCTGTCGGGCCCGCCCCCAGCCTCGCGGAGGTGAGCGGTCTTTTAAAACCTTGACATGGCAGCCGCAAAAATGGGCATGGTGGGTTGAACCACGCCTCATGGCACCGTCGGTGACGTCCTCTCCTATATCCCCATGGACCTGGGCCCGCTGAATCTTGTCCAGACTGCGCGCTGACACTAGGGCTTCGGCCAACTTGTCCGGCGATGCAAGGGCCCCAACTTTCTGCTATGAGATGGGGAGGCCCTTAATTTGCACACTGCTGGCAACAAGGTTGAAGACGGACGCCAGCTCTCTCTCTCTGCCTCTCTCTCTCTCGCCACGACGGCAGCTCCCCCACAGCATGAAGCGACACGTCGCCGACTACATTTCTGAAGCGGACCGCCTTGAACCATGAATGAACTGGAAGAAGCACTGCGACTCGCAAAAGCTTGGCCAAACTGGTTGCGAATGAGAACCCTGCTAGACTGGCGCTGTTGGGATACATGAGCCTGCGTATGGCGCCTTGCAGTCGCAATCTCCTGGGGGCTCTGACGATGCAGCAGAGGGCCCTCAGGAGCCTGAGGGGAGATTGGGCGTTGAGCGCAGCTTCCCTGTGCCCGGCGCGCGAGATATTTTCGTAGAACTGCTTGAGGTCCAGGAGGAAGAATGCCCGGAACCAGCCCCGTTGGACTTCGCGGAAGCCGCGAGCGCACTGCGCGCCCAGGCGCCCTTGTCGCACGCCGTGCCGGCGCCACTGCCCCAGGGGAAGACATGCTTGAAGCACGGGCTCCCACTTGGCGCCAACGCGTTGTCTGATCCTGCTCCAAGCTCTGGCCCGAAGGGGGGGGGCACTGTGGCCCCATGGGTTCCACTCCCCCAGGGCGCTTGTCGCAACAAAAACTAAGATGAGTTACATCTGAGCAGCGCGCGAATCAGCCCCCCACCCGTTGATAATGCCGGCAACAGCTTCGACCATGCAGTCAGGGAGCTGCAACTGGAGAAGGCGAGGGCGGAACGCGCCCCGACTTGAACCAGCTGAGGGAGGAAAGGCGCAGGCCGCATCGCGGACATCTTGCGCCGCGATACGCGGCATGTCGCGCGGCTCGTCTTCTCCACCACCACCCCGCGTCCAAGGGTGGGTCTCCCCCCCCGATCTGGCTTGCTCCAGGTCGGTCGCCAGTCTTGTCAAACTGACGAGCCCCGGGGCCCTCTGGACGCGAATTCGCGACGCGACCTCCCGAGTCGACCGAGCGCTGGGCCCAGGACGTCCACTTCTCACGGGACTCCGCAGCTTCGGCAGCAACTCAGCCGCCCACCCCCCCTGGATTAACTGAAACGACTCTGCCCTGGATTCTGCTTCGTCTAGGTGGCCAAAAACATTCGGGCGCTTCTGGGGGCCTCCTGAATCGGCCCGGGAGCAGGCTTGGTCTAGCGATTCGCCATCCCTCGGACGTAATCCTCGAGGGCGTTTTCCTTCATCTTGAGCAGCGCAAGACGCTTAAATGACAGCCATCCTTGGGTCGAGGCCTTCGACCGTTCGTGAAGATCATGGCCCCCGTGGCTGCCGTCGACGTTACCGACCAAAGCTGCCGACGCCCTGAACGCCCGCGCCATTTGCAGCCACCGCCTTGCGGCAGATGGTTGCAGCGGCACAGGACCTCGTCAGCCGCTGCAAACCAGGCCGCTGAGGTCTGCTCGGGTGCAGGTGCAGAAACATCGAGGCAGGTCCAGTCATCGACTAGAGGGGGCGCCTTTACGTCGAGGTCGACCAATGGAAGGGACAAGCCTCTTCCATGCCGTGGCTTGGCCAGCGAGGCAATTGAAAGATAACGCCGCGGCAGCGCGCGGGCCTGCAGGCGCGTCGAGCCGCGCCGAATCGCGCTGTCGACATGAAAACCAAGGCAGACACTGGCAACGAAAAGTCGAAACACGGGCCATTGCTTATGGCGCGCTCTGGCCTGAGGATAGATCCGTAGATGTCGTCCACCCGCATCGAATCCCTGAGTTCGTCCGACTCGGTATTCCAATCGCCTCCGATGGAAAAAAGATGTTCGCCATGGCCGCGATCTCGCTGACCTGCTCGAGGAACACGTTCTCCCGCGAGGCCTACCTTGGTGTGGCCGTAGGCCGAGATCAGACGGACCTGCATGGCCCCCGTGAGCTGAATCCGCTACGCGACCATCCCGTGGCTGGTGAGGCGATAGTCGTAGTCGGCCGCTGCCCGCGCACGTTCCGTCATCGCTGGTTCCCCCCCCGAGGTGGACGTCGCACCGTCCCGCGTCATATTGGCCGCCCGATGGACGCGGGGTGGCCAGCTCTGCGCGCAAACATCTTAGGCCCACTGGAGTTGGCCGCGTCGTGCCTGCGCTCCTGGACGAGAGGTCCGTCGAACTCCTTACCGCTACTTGACTGCCGTGGACCAATAATTCACGTTGTAGGTCACCAAGGAAAAAGGGTGCTGGCGATGCCTCGGCAAAACACTGGCGACGCTGAGCTATGGGCGCTGCGCCGGAGCCGCGGTACCTGGGACGCGCGACCTAACGCCAGGCAACACGTGGCAGACATGGAGCCCGGCAGGGTGAGCCGAAGCCACCATCCCCGGGACCTGCGATATAACGCCTGGCAAAAGTTGCAACGCTGTGCCCGGGCGACGCTGCCCTGGCAGCCGCCTCTGGGGCTTGCGACCTCTCGCCCGAATTCCTCGAGGTGGGGGGCCACTGCAGCGCCAGCAGTTGGAATAGTCGCACCCCCAAGGGCGGGCGCCACCTCTTCTTCCAAGGGCTCGCGTCGCCGACCCGCCCCCCCGAGATCCTCCGAGCAGACCTCGGGCGCGCGTCTCCATCGAATGGGGCGGGCCTCTGGACTGGCACCGAGGTCCCGAGGGCAGGCGCTTGCGGGCGGAGGGGGCGGGGGGCATGTCGCCACGGCGCGAAGAAGTCGCTTGGCAAGAAGACTCGAGGCGTTCGCTCAGCGCATGGGCTTGAGCGAAGCAGCCCGCCAGAGGCATCCGCCCTTGGCTAAAAGCCATCCTGCTTCGCGCCGACGGCTGCCTTTGCTGCTGCCAACGCTGCTTCCGTTCCATGCTGGTCGCGTGGCTGGCCCACTGGCGCATCGAAACCATCGACGCCGCCGCCAGTAGAAGTGGTCGTGCCAGACACTGGAGTCGGGGCCGTTGACGCTGGTGCTGCCGCCGATGATGCTGCTCCCTGGGAGGCCGCCTGGCCTGTGGGTGGAGCTGCTGCTGCTGCTGCTGCTGCTGCTGCTGCTGCTGCTGCTGCTGCTGCTGCTGCTCCTCGTCGTCACGCCTGCAGCACTTAGCCGCCATGCGTTTGCGGAGCTCCTCCGCTTCCTTGCGAAGCATCTGAATGCTTTCTGCGCTCGGCCCGATCGCCGCCAACACCGCCGCCTGGATCTTCGACGTGTCGGCTTTGAGAGCGTCCATTTGTCCTTCTGAGCCTCGTCGACCTCGGGAGGGTCAACGTTGAGGTCCTCGCCGTTAATGATCTCAACCACGCCTGCCCCTGCGTGGTCAAGAAGCTCGGTCAAGTTGATCTGCGACCCGACTGGACGCTCTGGCCTTGATGCGGGCGAGTCGCCCATGCTCGAATGAAACGACCCTTTGGCTCCCTGAAGCTCGAGCGCCAATCCTGCTGCCAGGCCACCTTCGTTCGTGGGCTGGAGCAAGGGCGACCGCCGCGGCCTCTCTGCATTACTTGCACTACGCCTCCGCTTTCGATCCGCGAGCGGCCATCGCCTCGAGGTGAGCCTCGCGGCTGCAGGCGATCCCTTGGCCGAGATGGTCGCATCGAGGACCTGCTTCTGCGGAGGGCCTGCGGGCCGCCGCAGGTTTGGGATCCAGCGTGCTCTCGATTGCCCTGGTCTCCTCTGGGCCTGCACCTTCTGGGCCAAGACGCTCGCGCAGCCGGCCCCGACACTGCTCCGTCGACCGGCCTTTCCTCGCCAGCAGGGGGGGTAGAGGATTTCGGACGGGGCGCCGCCGCTCGCGCGAGCGCTCCCCGGTGCCACTTGCCATTGGGGTGTCGGAGGACGGCGGGCTGCACGCTGAGGGCCCTGGTCACGCGCCCAGACCCCCTGACCGTCCCTCCACGGCATCTCCGGGGGCACCAGGGTGGCCCTGCACTTGAAACAGAACGTCCCCGTCAGAGGAGCTCCACCTGTACCTGCACGCACTGCATGAGACGTCACCGGTGGCATCTCTGCCCTCCCCGCGCGAGACAGAGCGCTGCGCGCGGCGGGGTGCGCCCCCGATACGATGCTCTGGAGGAACATATGTGCCAAGGTCTGCTGGCGAAAAAGGTGGGAAGTGGTGCCGCCTGCCCCCGTGCCATTCGCTTCCGTCCTGGGCCTCCCGCGACGGACTTGGGACAAGGAGGCTACGGGGAGGGGGAGAGGGAGCGAGGGAGGGAGGGGAGGTTGGGCGAGGAGGCAGGGAGAGAGGGGACAGGCTGCGGCGGCAACAGGTGCGCCGTTCGCCTCGCCGCTGCCCCTGGCGGCCTGTCGGCGCTTCTTGATGCGGCTGATGCGCGCAGCGTCCTCCCGGAAGGAGGGGGACGGGAAGGAGGAGGGGGAGAGGAGAGGAGAAGAGGAGGAAGAAGGATGAAGAGGAGGAAGGAGCAGGATGAGGAGGTAGGAGGAGGAGGGACAGGGGGAGGGGGAGGAGGGGGAAGGACGGGGGGGGAAGGAGGGGGGAAGGGGGAGGGAGGAGGAGGATGAAAAGGAGGAAGAAGTGGGACGTAAGGAGAAGAAGGAGGGGGCGGAGGAGAAGAGGGAGAGGAGAAGGACGAGGAGGACGAGGAGGCGAGGAGGAGAGGGAGAGAAGGAGGAGGACGAGGAGGAGGAGGAGGCTGACGTCCCGAGCGAGCGAGCGCTCCAGCGGCCTGAGGAGAAGGCGGAGGCGTGAGGCGGGAGGAGGAGGCAGGGAAGGGGGAGGGAGGGGAAGGAGAAAGAGGAGCAGGAGCGAGGAGGAAGGGAAGAGGAGGAGGAGGAGGAGGAGGAGGAGGAGGAGAAGGAGGAGGAGGAAGTCGGAGGAAGGGAGGAGGAGGAGGAGGAGGAGGAGGAGGAGGAGGAGGAGAGGAGGAGGGTGAGCAGGAGGAAGAGCAGGAGGAAGAGGAGGATGAGGAGGAGGACGAGGAGAAGAGGAAGACGAGGAGGACGAGGATGAGGACGAGGATGAGGATGATGATGCGGATGAGGCTGACGAGAGGAGGAGGAGGACGAGGAGGAGGAGGACGAGGAGGAGGAGGAGGAGGAGGAGTTCCTCGTTATCTTCCTCTGCCTCCTCCTCCTCCTCCTCCTCCTCCTCCTCCTCCTCCCCCTCCTCCGCCTCGACCTCCTATTCCTCCTCCTCGTCCTCCTCCGCCTCGATCCCCGCTCCCCCCCTCTCCCTGGCGGGTGAACCCCCGCCCCACTCTTTTTACCAACATGTGCACCAACGCGGCCGCTCCACAGCGTCGTATTCCACTCCTCCTGTCCCCCCGCTCGTCCACCTCATTCTCCGTCCTCCGCCCTGGCCCACTCCTGCCGGTGGAGCGGCGGTTCGAGGAAGAAGAGGAGAAGGAGGAGGAGGGGCATCCGTTGACCCCGCTTTTGGAACTGCCACCAGAACAGCACACTGGAACTGGTAACAAAGATTGCCCTGTCGCGTTCAGGGCCAACTACGGATAGAGGGGGAGGGGCCACAAGCGGCGAAAGTGCCCATATCCACGCCCACGCGGTCTGGGCCCCAGGGCGCGATCCCGTGGAATAAACGGTCGCATGGGTACGATCCGTGCGGGGGACCTGCTAAACACAGCCCCGTTTCCTCGGGGCCGCGGCACAGGGGCCTGGCCCGCAATGCCGTAGAGACCGACATGCATTCGAAGGAGAAGACGAAAGAGGGGCAGGAATAGAGGATGATAGACGAGGGAGAAAAGAAAACGGGCAAGTGAAGGCGGACGAATACGGAGAAGCAGGAGGTTGGGCAAGGAGAGGGGAGCAAGGCGAAGGACGGAGGACGATGAGGCTGGCACGGAACGATGAGGATGGCAGGCTGGATCGGGAAAGAGGCGAGCAACGATGAGGAAAAGTAAGATGGGGAACCTGGAAGAAGCGATGATCATGAGGAAGAACGGACGAAACCTGAGGCGCCTCGTTCACCACCCACGGCGCGACGCCGCCGCGCGCCCAGCTCCGCCGCTCAGGTCGGACTGAAGGTTCAACGCGTGGCGGCAGCGATCACGGTGGCGCAGATATTCTGGGGCTGGCTGCGCATGGCGTCCTTTAAGTGGTACGTCCGAGTGCCGACCGAGAATCTGGCCACTGAGTTGATGGCGCCGTCCTTGGCCTCCTGACTCTCATAGAACGGCGGGAGGGCGAGTCGTCGCATGACCGCCCCGATTGGCTTTCGACGAGGGGCGGCGAGACGGCGCCACATTCCAGGGCACTGAAAGTAAGGCTGGATCTCGTCGTGCCCGTTGCACCCAGAGATTCACGCGCGCTGCTGCGGGGCGACGTGCACGCGGGAGGTGGTCGCCCGAGTCGCACACGCGCCTGGGAGCGCCTTCCGCGCGGCCCAGACGCGGGCAGGCGGCAGCGTGGCCAGGTGCTGGCGCACGCGAAGCCAGCGCGTCTCAGAGTCCACTGTAGTGGAATCTAGCTGGGCAGGGTCGGGGGCATCCTCCTCCACGTCGGGGTCGCGTCTGTCGTCTCCTTCCAGCGCCGCAGAGTCGCCCTCGGCAAGGCGTGGCGCGCTCTGGCCGCGGAGTTCCGCAGGTGACGAAGCGGCGCAGGGCGGCCCTCTGGCGTCGCCGAACAAGGTCAGCCCCATGCCACGGCGCCCAAAGCTCGTGGCGGCTCAGGCGTTGCGGCAGATCACGTTCGCAAAGCGTCGCCGATGGGCACGCGCGCAACGGCGTCGCGCAGACGCACCAGTAGCGCCAGTCGCCCTCGTTGATGCTGTAACAATCGAAAAGTGGGGTGTAGGGCAGCCATCTCGCAGCCCTTGCAGCAGCTCGCTGTAGTAGCCGTCCGCGTGCGGGCTCAGATAGTCGCGTGCGCTGCAGGACCTTCGCGCTGGCGATGGCGCCGAGCCCTGTGGAACCAGGCGGCAGGGTCGCGGTGCAGGCGCGGTGGATGGTGTCGCGGTGCAGGCGTTCTTGGAGTGCTAGCACGCAAGCCTAATGATGACCCTCCGCTTCTTGAGACGGGCGTTGCCGCCGTCGGTGGGCGCGGCGCTGGAACCCGCGAGCAAAGCTCCGATGCCCCGACGAGCAGCATGGTGGCGCGCAGCTGCAGCGGCGCCGGGCGCGCGAGCCGAGGGGCCGAGGGGGCGCAGCATCCGCTTAAAGTGCGAGCGGGGCCCTGGACGAAGAAGGCGGAGCTGGCGACGCCCGCGAGGCGCTGCGCGACGGAGACCGGGTCCGCCCAGCAGGGGAAGCGCCAACGGCGAGCCTCTACGTCGACGAGGCTGAGGTACTCGTAAGCATGCTCGCGGAGGCGCTGTGCAGGCGCGCCCAGTTCTTGAGGGCGATGGAGGCGGAGCGCCACGTGGTGGTGGCCAGCAACGACTCGATGCTCATCGGCGCCTCGACGTTGGCCCAGAGCGCCATGCCGAATCTGTCAGACTTGGCGAAGCTTCTTAGCAGGACCTTCAGTAGCTCGCGGATTGCCAGCTGCACCGGAGAGAGCAGCTTGTCAGGAAGGTTGAACAAATAGCCGACGTAGCTCAGGCACGCGACGGCCGCGACATTGTGCAGCTTGATGTTCCGCTGGGGCGGCGCGTGCGACTCGGCGAGCTTGGCGACGCGCTCACGCCGCGTCGTCGATGGGCTCCGCCACTGGTCGCTTCGTTGGCGATCTGGAATGTGGCCCGGGGCCAGCGGTTGTTCATGGGGGCATCTCGCATGCTGGGCACCAAGGCCTCCGAGATCAGGGGCCAGGTCGGGCGATCATGCGCTTCTCGGCTTGCGCTTCTCGGCTCGCGAGGGCGTCGGCAGCGAGCGAGTGAGGGCCGAGAGGCTCAATGTCGGCCGGCTGCCAGGATGATACTAAGGTCGCCGGCGCATGCGCTGACGAAGCCGCAGACGACGGCGCGCAACTCCGACGCCAACGCAGAGACAATCGGGTCGAAGCTGAGCGCCCAGATTGCGCCGCTCAGCGGGCGCGCTTGCGCGACGCCCGAGTCGTCGCAGAGCAGCGGCCTGAGGGCGCCGCCGAGCGAGAGGGAGGAAAGTGACACGACGTGAATGGCGCGCAGCGAGGTCCCCGCGCAGCCTTGGATGCCCCACCGCTGGGTCAGCGATGGGAAGGCGGCCGCGATGTCCATGGAAGCAGGCTCGCCCTCGTGTCCTGGAAGCAGGCTAATGCGAAGAACTTCGGCATCACCCATGACGACGTCATGGAAGAACTGGCAGCTAGTGACGAGGCCCTGCTGCTCGAAGGACGTCTTGGCTGCGACCCCGTGTAGGGGTCGGCTACTGGCTGAAACGAGAAGCTCCACGTCGCTGTCCTTCATGGAGACGGGCGTAGTGCGCCAGGATAGCGGGCGCATTTGACGTTGCCCGACAGTTCGTCTCCCTTCGGGGGCGCGGCCATCAGCGCGTGGCTCAGACCGCGCGGCGCGCCTGCTATGATGATGTTGCTGAGTGCCGCGAGCACAGAAATCGCGCCTGGGGATTTCACCCATGCACGATGCGGCAGACAACCGGAGTCACGGGCAGAATCGCGCGCGCGTGGCAGCTCGCGCAGAAAGTTCAAGCAGCGGCTGTCGTGGAAAGACAAGGCCAAGGCAGGCCGCGACAGTTGTAACATCGACCTGCCTCGCAGCAAGGTTTGGCCCACAGTGGTTGGAAATGGCCGCGCGCACATGGCGCGGGTCGTGAGTGATCGCCCCGCGATCGAGGGCGAGGACCTTCAGCGGGAATGAGACGACGCAAGAATGGCTTCCAGAGAGCACTACATTTGCGGCCTTCACGCCGCGCGCGCGGTCGCCAGCGATCTCCGAGGACAACGCGACGACGGGCGTGAGCTTCGCGAGAACGGGCAGCAACTTTAGCGCATCGCTCTTCACTGGGTCTCGCGTAGACGTGGTCTGTGCCCGTCGCAAAACGGATGGGGTTCTGGAGCGTGACGGATCTGCTGTTTAGGTTGAAATGTCTTCGGCAAACTTCAGCACGGTCATTGAGCTTCTTGGCAAGGCCAGCGTCCCGGCACCATGTCGCGCGGGCAATGCTGCGCATGGTCGCGCCGCCAACCCCCAGTCGACACGTCGCCGCTCGTGATCTCCAACTTCTCGGCGGGGATGGACGCCAATGTGCCCCTAGCGCGGCGTGCAGTTTCATGCAACGTGGTCTTGGTGGTGCGCCACTGGCCAACAGGCGAGAGGTCGTCAATCGGGCGGCCATCAAGATCTACTGGGAGTGGCGCTGGTAATTCTTGGGGCCGAAGATGAAAGCAGGAGTATCGCGTTCTTGAGTGGGACATTGGCGGGCTGGCCGAATGCGAAGCTGGTGATCTTGTGGCCGCTGATCATGCGCCGTCTCCGTCAGGGTGGTGGCGCGGGCAGGCAGCGCGGTGAAGCAGCGGTCGACCGTGGTCTCCGCGAGGTTGGTAACGCTGCGGCGCGCGGAGGAGAGGTTCGCAATCTCCTGCGCGCGCTGGAACAAGGTTTTCCAGGATGCGGGCCAGCACTGGTATCTGGCCATTGTGACCGCAGAGGAATCCACTGGCGAATGATGCTCTGCGGCGGCAGCCCGGAGATGTTGAAGTGATCGGGCATCGCGAAAAGACGTAGCAACGGGCCGACGTCTGCAAGCTCGCGAAGCCGTTTCCAATGCTCTCGTATGACTGCGCGGTCGCTCGGCGACAAGTGGTGGTTGCGCATGTTGCGCACCGTGAGTGGCAAACTCTTTAGATACGACCGCTACACGGAGCCACGCTGCTCACCCAGGAACGACCTCTTCGAAGGTAAGAAGACGACGGTCGACGGGCGGGCGGCCGAGCTCGACCTCGTCGCGAGGGACGAGAAAGCCGATCCCGCCAGCGACAGTGGAGCTCGGGATCCCCGAATTGACGGCCGAGTAGGGCTGCGGGGCGGAGATGGCCAGGGTCTTCATGTCAACGTCGGTGCCGCGGGTTCCCCGAAGAACTGCGAGTGCGCGCTGGCGAAGGAGAGGGAGTAGCAGACGACGCTTCTCAAGACGGCGCCAACAACCTCTCCCCTGACAGTGCGAGGGCTCTGGTCAGCTGAGACGTGAGGAGCACCGCCGACTACAATCTGAAATTGACGTCAATTGCGACCATCACGTGTAGATTCATGAAGACGATTGGCTCGTGGATCAGCCACCATCGTGCCGCCAGTGACCGTGAAGGAGTGCCGCGTCGCGAGGCCAGTGGCGTCGAAGGCGATATGGTGCAACGTGACCTCGGCGGCTGTGAACCAGCATTCCTGATATGCCTTGAGGTCGGCCACCGAGTATGCTGAGGTTGGTACACCGGGTCGGCGGCGCGGTCGACGGAGCCGATGGCGTCCACGTTGAAGCACGGCTTGCGCGCCTCCGCATCGTCCACGATGCGCTGGAGCTTGCTGGCCGGTTCGCGGAGCTCACGCGTGGACTGCCCGATCTTGTCTCTCCCCGCATTGCTAACGTCCTGGAGGTCGGGTTCGGTGCGCTCGTGCTTCTGGTTGGGAGTCGGCTGCGATCTGTGCGACCGACGCGGGGGATTGTTGCCCAGCCCTCTCGGTGACGACCTTTGCAATGGTTTTGAACTGCGCGGCAGCGTCCTTGACCTGGGTGGCCAGAGCCTCTTCCAATGTTTACGCGAATGGGCAAAGAGCTGATGGACAGGCAGCTTGGACGCGGCGCTGACCCAGGGGTCGTCGCGCTTTTCATCATTGCTACCGTCTTCAGAGGCCATGCCGAATCCAAAACTGTGCTTTGCTAGAGGAGGTCCGCGTAAGCGTTAGGCGATCGCGCGTGAAGTGCTAGCTGCGAGCAGGTAAATGCTGCAGCCACGGTGAGGATGCTCAACCTCGCGGGCACGAGGAAGGCGGGAGAGAACGTCCGTAGCTGGTCCTGGACCGAGGATATCCGTGCTCTGCCACGGGGCGAAATCATCTTGAACCGAAATGGCTATGGATAGTGATGAGGAGGAGGACGAGGAGAAGGACGGGCGGAAAGGGGAGTGAGGCGAAGGAAACAGTGAGAGAGAATAAGGACGGGCGAAGAGGGGGCATCCAGGCCCCCAGAATTAGATCAGGAACAAACGGGATCAGAGGATCGCGCCGCTTCGCCGACGCATCGGCAAATGCGGTGCGATGTGGAGTCCGAACTTCTCCATCCCGACGCCGCCAAAGCATCACCGATGCGTCGGCGACGCAGTGCGCTTCTGTAGCCCCATCTGTTCAAGCCCTGAGCTGGGCGGCCTCCAGCGGGAGAACGGGGAAGGAGGAAAAAGAGGAGGAGGATATGGAGGAGGATCCGGATCCGGAGGAGGAGGGGGAGGAGGAGAAGGAGGAGGAGGAGGGAGAGGGGGAGGAGGAGGAGGAGGAGGAGGAGGGGTGGGCGAACTGCGAACTGGCGGAGCGACGGGTGCTCTCCTGGATCTTGCGCACGCGTTCCGCCTCAAGCTGCCTGCTCTCGGCCTCCTTGCGCTGCGCCTCGGCCTCCTTCTCCTTGCGTTTTCGGCGCTCGCCTCCGCTGCTGCTGCTGCTGCTCTTCTTCTTCTTGCGGCGCTTCCGGTCCTTGTCCTTCTCCTGAGGGGACCGCTCGCGCGGCCCTTTTTTGGGCGTCCAGGATCGGGATCGAAGGGGAAGCATATCGGATCCCAGCAGCCCTCCCGGCGAAGGTGGTATGACGAGTTGCTCTCTTCCCTCAACCAAGAGCCCTGCTTCTCATACTCGGAAAACGGGTTCACCACTGCTCTTTATCAATAAACACCCCCTCCCCAACCCGACAGGCGACAACTCCGGGACAATGCGGCCCCCCCGCCACCCCTGTCGACAGCAATTCAAAGCGCACTGTGCGGCACGATCTTGGGTCATCTTAGGCCACCCCGCGGACACTTTGCACTGTTTTTGACAGTGACGGCGGGGATGCCAACATATGGCCTGTTGTGCGCAGTGCCCCCATCCCGGTCAAAAATCAATGCAAACTGCACTTCGCGGCTAAATCTGGATCATACGCGGGCACCCCTCGATCACTTGGCATAGGTTTTTCATAGGGCCGGCGGGGAGCTGGCATAATGCCTGCTGTGCGCACGCCCACCAGACACCACGGATGGTGGGGGCTGACATGTTTCCCCATGTGCGCGGGAGCACCTGGCACACTATGCGCGTGCTCCGAACGTCGCGCACCTAGAGCGGCTGGAGCATGCGGCACACTTGGCGCACGTGGCTCATGTGGCGCACCAGGCGTGCCTGGCACGCTTGGGCCCCAGGTGTGCCTGACACGCCTGGTGTGCGTGGCGCGCCTGGCACGCGTGGCGCACCTCGCCCCAGCGTCGCGCACGTGGGGACTGGACTGCCTCCCATTAGCTGTCGATCCAAAGACGATCGCTGAACATGCTGAGACTCGGGTCCTGCATTGTGTAGGGAGGGCGGGTGGGAGTGAGCCGAACAGTTTGCTTCCGGCAAAGGTGCCTTGATCACAGTTTCCTTTTCAAGGCGGCAGGGCTGTCGGCATGTTGCTTGCTGCGCGCAGGCCAACCGTCCCTGTCAACAAACCATACATAATACAATGTGCCTCCGTATGTGGAACATGCGCGGGCGCCCCGCGACCGCTTTGCATTGGTTTGTTGCCAGGGGCTGCGGGTATGCCCTAATACTACTTGCTGCGCGCGTGGCAACCACCACTGTCAAAAAAAGATGCAACATGCACTTTGCTTACAAATCTGGAACATGCACGGGCGCCCCGCGACCATTTTGCATGGTTCTTGACAGGGATACTCGGGTGCTGCGTATGCACTTGGAGGACAAAGGGGAGTGAGCGAAACTGCTTGTGCCTTGTGGCCAGGAGGTGTCCTGACCCCTCCCCCTCCCACCTCCCCTGGGTCCAGACGGGCCTCTGACCCATTGGACCGTCTGGGATGGCCCAAGATGGCTCCAAGAGGGCCCTACGTAGCCCAAGATGGCCTCCAAGATGGCACAAGCTGTGTCAGGATGGCGTAATTTGAGGGAGTTTCTGTGGAACTCACGTCATCCTCACCCCCGGCGCGAAGAGCACGAGTCCAGAGCGGCCTCCGGCACCGTTTCCGGACAGATCCGATCCGCTGGATCCGCTGGATCCGGTGACGAATCCCAAACCGGCGCCCTCGCTTGAGACATCCTCACAAAACCGGCCCCGGGGGAGGTGCCCAGAGGAGCCCAGAGCGGCCTCCGGCACCGTTTCCGGACAGATCCGGTGGATCCGCTGGATCCGCTGGATCCGGTGACGAATCCCAAACCGGCGCCCTCGCTTGAGACATCCTCACAAAACCGGCCCCGGGGGAGGTGCCCAGAGGAGCCCAGAGCGGCCTCCGGCACCGTTTCCGGACAGATCCGATCCGCTGGATCCGTTTCGCGGACATCCTGGAGGTCCGGCCTGGATCCTGGATCCGCTGGATCCGGTGACGAATCCCAAACCGGCGCCCTCGCTTGAGACATCCTCACAAAACCGGCCCCGGGGGAGGTGCCCAGAGGAGCCCAGAGCGGCCTCCGGCACCGTTTTTCCGGACAGATCCGGTGGATCCGCCGACGAATCCCAAACCGGCGCCCTCGCTTGAGACATCCTCACAAAACCGGCCCCGGGGGAGGTGCCCAGAGGAGCCCAGAGCGGCCTCCGGCACCGTTTCCGGACAGATCCGGTGGATCCGCTGGATCCGCTGGATCCGGTGACGAATCCCAAACCGGCGCCCTCGCTTGAGACATCCTCACAAAACCGGCCCCGGGGGAGGTGCCCAGAGGAGCCCAGAGCGGCCTCCGGCACCGTTTCCGGACAGATCCGTGGATCCGCTGGATCCGCTGGATCCGGTGACGAATCCCAAACCGGCGCCCTCGCTTGAGACATCCTCACAAAACCGGCCCCGGGGGAGGTGCCCAGAGGAGCCCAGAGCGGCCTCCGGCACCGTTTTCCTGGATCCGCTGGATCCGCTGGATCCGGTGACGAATCCCAAACCGGCGCCCTCGCTTGAGACATCCTCACAAAACCGGCCCCGGGGGAGGTGCCCAGAGGAGCCCAGAGCGGCCTCCGGCACCGTTTCCGGACAGAGATCCGCTGGATCCGCTGGATCCGGTGACGAATCCCAAACCGGCGCCCTCGCTTGAGACATCCTCACAAAACCGGCCCCGGGGGAGGTGCCCAGAGGAGCCCAGAGCGGCCTCCGGCACCGTTTCCGGACAGATCCGGACAGATCCGGTGGATCCGCGCCCCGGGGGAGGTGCCCAGAGGAGGAATGAGGAGGAGGAGGAGGAGGAGGAGGAGGAGGAGGAGGAGGAGGAGGAGGAGGAGGAGAAGATGATGGAGCTGCGGGGTGGAGGAGGACAGACGGAGGCAAGAGAAGGATGGAGGAGGAGGAGGAGGAGGAGGAGGAGGAGGAGGAGGAGGAGGAACCTCATCACCCTCGCCAACAAGCGCACGCACCTTCTTCTATATACAGAAACTCCCGATCAACCGCAGAGCGGCCGGCTAGGATAGCCTTCGACATGCCCCCAAGAGTCCCTCAGGCAGCCCCAAAACGGTTCCAAGTGCCTCCCGAGCCTCCCAAGGAGGCACCTAAGAGGCCAACATCCTTCAAACACCTGAGGACAATCAATATGTTGTCCCTTCTCGACTTTTCGCTCCCGATTGGCTCTTGTAGCATCGAAATGGCCCAAGAGAGCCCCAGGAGGGGCCCGAGAGGACCCCAAGATGGCCCCAAGAGCGCACACAAGCTCCCTAAGAGGGTCCCAGGAGGGCCCCACGTCGAGATCTGTCCACCTGCAGGGGGGGGGGGGGGGAAGGCGAATAAGCTCCCCGCTCCCTCCCCCTCGTTTGAATTATGAGGCCCAAGATCGCCCCAAGAGGGCTCCAAGAGACCTCCAAGGAGCCCCAAGAAGCCCCCAAGGAGGCCCGAACAGGGCCAAACGACAACTTCGAGCATTGCTCCGGAACGGTTCCGAGAGGCCTCTGCCCGCCGTGGCACGGGAACGTTGATCCAACCCTTCAACATCTGTTCCCGCCGCTCACGCGTCCCCAGGACGCTTCTAAGGCGATTGTTCAAACGCGTGCTTCTGCAAGAACTGCCTCTACGTCTGGCACCAGAATGATGTGAGCCTCTGGAAACTTCCAGGGCCTCCGGGGACCCAGGAGTTTCCTTGTTCTGGCAAAGTGTCTCAACCTCCGCGGGAGGAAGTGGCGGTCAGCATCCCGTACGTGAGAGAAGGCGATCGGGAATCAGGGGCTCGGCCCACTCCTGCCGATACGAGTGAGGGGGGAGGAACAGGGGGAGAAGAAGAGGATCCAGGCGAGCCCCTGAGACGCACATCCCGTCCACGAAAGGTGCGGGCGTTGCAGTCGCTGAGGGCGGTACTGGCTTCAGAGCTGACGAAGGCACTGTCGTTGGTGCTAGCGGAGGCGTCGCCGCCAGAATTGGCGAGGCTGCCGGAGGAAGTGCTGGTGTTGATGCTGGCGGAGCCGCTGAGATTAAAACTGCTGTGTCTGCTGGCGTTGGCACTCGCAGCGGCGCCGGAGTGGGAGCCTGCGACGGTGATGGCGATGAGGCGGTCGTCAGCTCCGACGTCGGCGCCGCCGCAGCCGCTGGCATCGGTGTCGGCGGGGACGTGGTGTTCGACTCCGTGATGGACACCGTGAAAGTGCTGATTTGGGTGGACACAGTGGAAGCGCTCGTTTCGGCAACGCTGGGCGAGGACGTGGTGCTCGCCCTCGTGATGATGGACATCGTGGTAGCGCTCGACTCCGCAGTGCTCGATATCGACGTGGTCTTCGACCCCGTAGCGGTGGACACCGTGGTAGCGCTCGACGCCGCAAAGCTGGACACCGACGCGATGTTCGCCACCGTCGTGGCACAAAACGTGGCGGCGCTCGATCTCGTGGTGCCGGACGTCACCGTGGCGCTCGGCTCCCTCGTGCTGGACCCCAGTGCACGTGCAGCCCACCCCTCGACCAGGACAGACTCGCTCTGCAGCGGAGCCAGAGGCGAGGATGATCGTCTCCTCGGAGAGATGGCGGGGGGAGGAATGAGGGGGGGGAGTCGCACGCGGCCGCGGCCAAAGCGAGCCGACTGGCCTGCACGTAAAGCTGGGCCGCACGACCGAGGCCGCGGACAGCATGAGCCGTCGTGCAGAGGGAACCGCAGTGCAGCACGCGGTCGCGACCGAGGCTACGGTGAGGCCCACGGTCTGCACACAAGCGGGCAAGAGAAGAACCAGTCCACACGGCCAGGATCGCGGGCCGCGTGATCCAAGGTGAACTAGTGGTGCACAAGGCCCTATGCGACGCCCGCGCCCAGGAAGGTAGTCATGGGGGTGACCCTCTGGGGGAGCAACAACGGCGGCGGCAAGCATAGCTGGGCTGACGAGTGAGACTCACGTCTTGGAGGCTACTCGAATTCGTTTTGCGAGCTGTTAGTGCCAAGCCGAAAGATCCCGATTCACCCTCTCTCGCCCTGGCTTTCTTTCATTATGTATGTCTGTTTTGTTAGCTTGCTCTCTCTCTCTCTCTCTGCCTCTCTCCTCATCCCTCTCTCCAAATATGCACATCCATCGGATCTGCAGTATGCAGCTTCCTCTGATGCTTGTTGTTCTTGTCTCTCTCTCTCTCTCTCTCTCTCTTTCTGTACATATCGATATGTATACGCACATACTGTACCCTTCTCATGGCTCAGCCGTGCGTTCAGCGCATGTCGCTGCAGCGCGGCCTCGAACGCATTACCTCTGTCATTGCGCTAATATGATATCATGTTTCTGTCGATGCTGGCAAATTCCATCCCAGATCTCCAGCTCTCAATCTGCATGCTGGTCCAGTGCCTGTATATCGTCGAGCACAGCTCAGCTTTGCCATGCCTGCCTGACTCCCACTAGCACAGCTACAGTCGATCAACCACATCACCCCTGCAAATCCATAGGCCTCACAAAACCCATGAGCGCAAACTCCTGAAAGTCACGAGGCCTGTGCCTGGTCCATCTAAGCATGGGACTGCTTACGGGTGCTGGCCCCACCTTGTAAAACGAGCTGAGAAACGAACGACACCAAACAATATTGATGTTGCCTTAAGGACATTCAATGGCTCGGCCTTATCGACAGAGGGACCGTCCTTCTTTCGACTCCGGCTCTTGCTCTTGCTGCGGCTGCGACTCTTCTTTTTGTCCCGCTTGCCATCGCCGCCCTGCGCAACGCACCAGAGGAGGACGAGAGGGCTACGGAATTGGGGTTGGATGAACTTGTCTGTTTCTCTGCAGATCTCCTGGAAGTGGCATGCAGCAGGGAGGGGGGGCAGGGAGGAGAGAAAAGATGGGAGCGGATGGAGGAGGGACGACGGGGGAAGTCTGGGCCCCTGCTCGCTCCACGAGCTCCCGCTGCGGCCTCGGGGAGGACGCACCGGCATCTACACCCCACCCCTGTCCTTCCGATGCAGGTAAGAAGGTAGCGGTGCAGAGCTCATGACTGAGGGGGATGTTGCCAACTTCAAGGCTAGGCTCACGGAGGAATCACTTGTTGCCTGTCCGACATACTGCATCCCTGAAGGGATTTGATGCACCGAACATATAAACGTTCCGCGTGGCTGCTTGATCAGCGTTCCTTGCTTGTACTGTTGTATCGGTCGTGCGTGCTCCTAAAGCCTTCCGGATGCCCATTGTCCATGTCAAAAGGCTGCGGTGTTTGACTGATAGGTTCACGCTAAGTGCGTTCCCACCCTTCAGGACAATTAGAGCTTCACTCGCCTATCTCATCGAATGTTTTATCATGAACGAATCGTAGCAAGTTGGAGTTGCGTCTAGCGTGACCCATGCATGGCACACGTTTCTCACAACAGTCGTTGCCAACACTGCCCGCTCTTGCGTCTCGCATGTCGCACAAATGCGTTAACGGTGCCATTATTATGAGACTGGCAAACGGCCAGCCTGGGAAGGTGCCAGGAGCTAATCGGGGCCAGCCCGACGAATCTATATTCTCCAAATATTTCTAGGCAGCCTCCACACTCCATCGCCAGGGAGACAGCGAGATCAATACCAGGGGGTAGCGGCGTTGAATCGCAAGAACTGAAATTCCCTACAGTCCAAGCCGATGGATAATGGGTTCTCGTCTCATAAATAGAAGAATCGGATAATCCGTGCCAGGAGCTAGAGTGGGCTTGCCCCTAGATGCAATGTCACGGGCATATTGGGGCCTGTCCCGAGGAGCTGAAAATCCTGAGCTCAACATGAATCCCGATCCCCAGAAATACTCCATCGTGGCAAGCACTGCCACTCGACAAAACCGTGCGCTCGCTAATTTTATAATCATGCCGTTCAAGCTCGAACTTGTGGGTAGAATTGCAAGTTGCCACCAGGATTGCCATTACACAATTTTTAGGCATTGCCCTTACAGGGCTACGTCAAACAGACAGGCGGAAAGAAATGAGCAATGCTGTCGGACTACGACACGATGACGATAGGTGGAGCATAACTTGGCTGGCCGTGCTCCAGCCTCAGCTGAAGGTGCACCATGGAAGAATGATGACCCCAACTGCCAAGGGTGCTTTGGCCAACGACAAAATGCGAGGTAGAGGGGGGAGCAGGACAAGATATAGACACCAATGGCATGCTGAATCTCTCTGGTTCTTGCCACTTTAGCTCATTCCATCCCTTGTGCGGCGATTTTCTGATAAGCATGATGCCAACACGGCCCACAATTAGTGGCAACAGGCCAGCGTGTTCCAGAGGTCTCGGGGTCGCCTCCAGAAACCTCCATCGGGTTCCAAGGGTCCCGAAGGCTGATGTAGGATGGTGATCTAAGGAAGGAGACGGGGGCCACCAAGGAAAGCATGATCATCTGTCGATCGATGACGACAGCGACGATCAGGCCTGCGACCCAATTCACAAATCATCGACCAGGGCGCCTACATGATCTTTCTACACCACTGGAGACCAAAAGCTGCAGGGAGCGATAGCACACCTCGACCCTCGATCCCTGAAGGAGACCGAGGACGTCGGCACCCAGAGGCTCATCGAAGGCCCCGCGGAGGAGCAAGAGGCGGTCAAAACCTGCATCCTCGGAAGACGCAGGGATTGGGACAGGTTTGCAGCTCAGGGCTGATCTGCGTCATATGCCATCCCACCACGCTCCTTCCCCCCTTAGCCTTCCTGTCTCTGATTGCCTTGAAGCAAACTTCGATTCGTGGCGCACGAGAGGGAGGAGTCGGCAAAAGGGGGAGGCTAGCGAATTAGCAGTAGGCATCTTGGTTCCCCGGCGCCTCCCGGCGCCAGAGGCGGCCATGTGTCGAGGAGAGTGCCCAGTGGCGGAGCCGAAACCAGCTGCATGCAGCAGATGTCGTGCCTCCCAAAGCCAACCTCCCCCCTTCCGCCCCCCCCGACAAGAGAATCCTTGACCCTCGCAGGACTGACGAAGTGGGGCGGTTGTGCAGCTCTCTGGGGGCGCCTTCATCTCCGAGAGAAACATATCCCGCGCGGAGACCTGAATAAACGGAGTCGCGGGCGCGGGCGCGAAGAGCGCGAGAGCCTCCGTCCGCGACGGCTCGGCCCGCACTCCCCGAGAGTGCTTCGGTCTGCGCCCGGAGGCCTCTATAGACGCACGTGTGAAGCACCCAGAGGCCAAGAGCCGCATGCACGTGCGGAAGCCTGGCGTAGCGAGCCACAGAAGGGCCCGGCGACGGGAAGACATCTGGCCACGTGTGAACCCAGCGCTGGCCCAGGCTGGGCGCGTCATGTGCATCTGGCAGGCGCGGGACACAGCCTGCGCTATGTAGGAGCAGTGCCTGGACAAGGGCCCAACCCTATGCAGCTGTGTGTGCTGCAGGCCGCGTACCTCTTTTCACAGACTGCGCCCCGCGGAGCAATGCGGACGGGGTGCCATGAATTCCTTGTAGGGCAGGATCCGCGTGAGGGGTGTTTCGAACTGGTCCCTGACCCACTTGCGAACACTCTCACCTGTGCGGTAGAGCTCCATAGGCGACATTGTCTGCGTGACAGATGCCGTGATTGAAGCCCCTTGCGGGGCACCATCTACATAAATGGTGTGCTGAAGTGGGCGCGGCGCCGCCATGGTGTGCTGAAGTGGGCGCGGCGCCGCCATGCGGGAGTGCCCACTGGTCCCGTAGATGAAATTCTGTGGGGGCGACAATTGTGTGATGAATGCGCCGAAATGAGCGCGGCGTCGCTATGCGGGCGCGCAGACGGGGGCCGTGATTGGAGCTCTCTATAGCGGCGCGGAGCGTGAAGGGTGTTCCGAAAATGGCATGCGGACGCGTAGCAGAATCAGGCATAGGAGAATGGGTGAGGAGGGGGCGCAAAGAGGTGTTAGGTGAGACGCGCGACGCTGCGGAGTCAAGACGAGGACCCAAGTCCAAGAATGCTGCCTGCAGCGCGTAGGGTGCCCTTCTTCCTATACTGGCACTGGAGCCTTGACTGGAGCTTCCTGGAGGGCTGCGAGGCGAGTGAGGGTTGTGCCGGCATGGTGCGGCACCGCCATGCGTGTCTTGCCACTGGACCCGTAAGTGGATGGCCGTGTGGGGACTCTACGCGCGTGAGGCGTGCCAACACGAGGCGCCGCCACGGCCTCGACTGGAACTCCTTCTCGGGCCACGTAATGCGTCAGGGGAACGAGTGGGGGACGTAAACGGGGGGAGGGGGAGGAGGCGAGGACCAAGGGATGGAGCGGGGCGCTGCGGGCTCAAAACACGGGCCCAACACACCGGAAACAGCACTGGATCGCGGGGGGTAACAAATATGAGGCGGAGGGCGACGGGGACGGCGATGGCGTCGAGGCAGGACGCGCAGCACGGCGGAGACAGAGCGAGGGCTCAACAAGGCAGGATGGTGGGAACAAATCGCGAGGAGGAGGGAGAGGAGGCGAGGAGGGAGGGAGCGAGGAGGTGAGGCGTGACGCGCGGCCCTGCGGAGAGAAAGCGAGAAGCCCAAACAGACAGAAGTGCTGGGAGCTTCTCCTCGCAGCACATGACTCAATCTCTTGGAGGCACCCCATGCGCATAGAGGGTCAGACTTCTCCAGAGGTGGCCCCATCCAGAGGACAGCAGTCGTCGTCGTCGTCGTCATCGTCGTCGTCGTCGTGGTCGTCGTCCAGCTTCTCATCCTTCTCCTCCTCCTGCTCTCCTTCTCCTCCTCCTCCTCCTCCTCCTCCTCCTCCTCCTCGCCCCTCGGTCACACAGCCGTTGCAGGCGCGGCACTCCATCTGGCCTGCTTGGGTGGCCCAAGAGGGGGAAACGTTGGTCACAACCGTTCCAGGCGCGGCAACACGGGCCACCGTGCCCGACAGGGTGGTGACACCAGGTAGCTGGACCCACCAACGGGGTTAAGGCGCCCCAGAGACATATCACTTCAAGTCCTCCTCGCCCCCACCCATCTCCAGCTTTGGCCCCCAACGCCCCGACACTGCCATGACAGAAACTGGGTTGACCCAGCTTTCGCCGTAAGCGAAAAGGGGCATCCGATCCCCGCAACGGCTGCGCTACTGTGCGAAAAACTCACAACATAATGGATGCAAGGCTCCGCGGCCAAAACTGCACGAGATGAATAATACGTAGCACCCCGCAATTGCGGATAAGAGTGAGGGGGCGGGCGACGCGGGCGTCGTCGAGCCGGCGGACCTCGTGGCCTCCACCTTCACTGTCGATGGCGCTCTCCTCCTCCTCCTCCTCCTCCTCCTCCTCATCCTCTTCCTCGTCCTCGTCCTCATCGTCGTCATCCTCCTCCTCCACCTCGTCCTCCTCCTCCTCCTCTTCTTCCTCGTCCTCCCTCTCCCCCCCTCGTCCTTTCATCATCGTCCTCCCATTGTCGTCCTCCCCCTCATCGACCTCCATCATCGTCCTCCCATTGTCGTCCATCATCATCATCATCCTCCCCCTCCTCCCCCTCCTCGTCCTCCTGGTCCCCCTCCTCCACCTCCTCGTCCTCCTGCTCCTCCTCCTTTTCTTTCTCCACATTCTCCTTACATCCTCTCTTCTTTTGCGTTCTCCTCGTCCCCTGTTTACTCCTCCTGCCTCCCCCTCCTTTCCCAAGATAACTGCAACGCAATCCTTTTTTCCACTTTATGCTCCCCGCCTTCTCTGATCAAGGCAACTCGCCAGGGCAGAGTTGCTGGACGGGCTGGTGGATGCGCGGGGCTGGAAGAGGCCCTTGCGGGCTCAGACGGTATGCAAAAAT